CGCCGCCGCCGCCGCCGCCGCCGCCGCCGCCGCCGCCGCCGCCGCCGCCGCCGCCGCCGCCGCCGCCGCCGCCGCCGCCGCCGCCGCCGCCGCCGCCGCCGCCGATGAGGGCTATCCGTTCGCCGCCGCCGCCGCCGCCGCCGCCGCCGCCGCCGCCAGCCGCTGCAGCCACGAGGAGAACCCCTACTTCCATGGCTGGCTCATCGGCCACCCCGAGATGTCGCCCCCCGACTACAGCATGGCCCTGTCCTACAGCCCCGAGTACGCCAGCGGCGCCGCCGGCCTGGACCACTCCCATTACGGGGGGGTGCCGCCGGGCGCCGGGCCCCCGGGCCTGGGGGGGCCGCGCCCGGTGAAGCGCCGGGGCACCGCCAACCGCAAGGAGCGGCGCAGGACTCAGAGCATCAACAGCGCCTTCGCTGAACTGCGCGAGTGCATCCCCAACGTGCCCGCCGACACCAAACTCTCCAAGATCAAGACGCTGCGCCTGGCCACCAGCTACATCGCCTACCTCATGGACCTGCTGGCCAAGGACGACCAGAACGGCGAGGCGGAGGCCTTCAAGGCGGAGATCAAGAAGACAGATGTGAAAGAAGAGAAGAGAAAGAAGGAACTGGTCAGTACCAGGGGGCAGCGGGCAGTGGGGTACGGGGGACCGGGAATTCCCGTCTCTTTAAAGTTGGGCTGAGCAATGGCACTCCGCGTTCTTTGGCTGCGTCTTGAGCCAAGGTTGCTTGCACCAGGTTCTGGTCGGGATGGTTTCCCGCAGAAGCGGAGGGGGTGGGGGAGGGTGTCAGCACGCGGAGGAGGTTAAGAGGGATGCTTCGCGCTGGTGATCTTGCCCGCGGGTTATCGCCGCTCCCCCCGGCACTCAGGGCGGGCCTCGCGGACTCAGGGTCCGGCTTGATCTCCCGATCGCACTGGCCCGGACCCCTCATTCCCTGTCCTGTAGAGCCTTCATTTGGCCTCCAATCCGATCTTGCTTTCAGATATTTCTAAAATAAGTTGCTCAGAAGCACTTGATGCCAATTATTTCACTAGTGATCGCATTTCCCCCTCTTGAGAATGAGGCAGCCACTGATCCTAAGAATTTTATGCTTGTTCTGATTTCTGTGCCGGGAAAACGTCAAGGTAAACATAAAATAAGTACTTTTAACTTCAAAATGCAGTTTCTCTTTGGCAGTGAGACTAACATGTGACTTCCCAGATGAGTATACTTCACGGTATTTCTTGTTTTGTTTGCATGAGCCTGTACATTTTAAGACAAATAGTAAATATTACCTTGGTCATTGTAATTGTTGTTAACAGTAACAGGAAATTATAACTGAAAATTAGTTTTCTCAAGCTCCTACCAGGTGCCCAGAGGGTAGTGGTGTTCAGAGCAGGGCTATTGCCACGAAGGGCCTGGAAAATTATCCCATTTGTCGAGGTTTTCTTCTTTGGGGCCTATGGCGCTTTAGTCGCTACACAGTCGAGTGATCCCGAGTAACCGGGGATTTCAGAGGCCTTGGAAGGAGAGGCACTGCCGAACCGAGCCAGAGGCCGAGCTGCATGCGGACAGGCCCAGGCCAAGGCGGGGGCACCTCACCCCATCTTCCCTAGAGCGCGGAGCTGGGGCTGCGATGACCCCCGCTCGCACCCCTACATCTGGAGTTAGAGAGAAGGCCCCCGGTTCCTCCATAAACGACATGAAAACGGGTGGTTGTTTATAAACCTGCCGATCGGGAGTTGAGCGCGGCCAGCGTCTGGAGGCCCGGGCGGGAGCTAGGGCAGCGGCCAGCCTCCGTAGCTCTTCTGCCGGGGCTGGGACTTGAAAGCATCCCACACGTCATCCCTGGCTGGCTCTCTTACTCTCTCCTCTGGCCGGGAAAAGCGCGGGGGTGGCGTGGAACCGGGTCTCCTCTCTGATTCTCTCTTTCTCTTTTTCTCCCCCTCGCCTCCCCTCTGCCCAGAACGAAATCTTGAAAAGCACAGTAAGCAGCAACGACAAGAAAACCAAAGGCCGGACGGGCTGGCCGCAGCACGTCTGGGCCCTAGAGCTCAAGCAGTGAGAAGGAGGAGGGAGAGGATGGAGGAGGAGGGGAGTGAGAGCCGGGCCCAGGAGCCGGATGCAGACCCAGGACTCAGGGCAAGCTCCCCGCGCTCCGCTCTGAGGACTTCCTGCATTTGGATCATCCGGTTTATTTATGTGCAATGTGCCTCCCTCTCTTTTCCCCCCTTCGAGGCATCCGCTCCCCACCTTCCCCTCCAAAAACAAAGTGGATATTTGAAGAAAAGCATTCCATATTTTAATATGAAGAGGACACTCCCGCGTGGTAAGGGATCCCGGCGTCTCGTAGATTCTCTGTTTGTGAATGTTTCCTCCTGGCTGTGTAGACACCAGCGGTGCCCTCTCCCCAACCCCTTCCAGATAAAGACAGCGGACAATAGTGTGTATGTGAAGTATATCTTTAATACTTGGCCTTCGGATATAAATATTCCTGGGGATTATAAAGTTTTATTTCAAAGCAGAAAACGGGGCCGCTAACATTTCCGTTGGGGTCGGTATCTAGTGCTGCCGTTTCATCTGTGGTGGTTCCCTATGTGAAGATGTTTCCAACAGCTACTTGTTTTGTGCACTTCCGTCCTCTAAAACTAAGTGGAATTTAATTAATATTGAAGGTGTAAACGTTGTAAGTATTCAATAAACCACTGTGTGTTTTTTTTTTTTACAAAACCCCAATCTTTTAATGGTGGATACCTCAAAAGAGTTTTGAAAACAAAACTGTTATACTTGTTTTCATTATATTTAAAATATTCAGAAGTAAACTAAATTATCATGATTGCCTCTAACTTTGTTTGATAGAGTCAGTGGTTCGGACCAGTCATCAACGTGAGCTCCCAGCCTCGCAGGGCTGGCGAGGAGGCCCTTTAAAGAGAAGTGTTCTTGGTGAAAATCCTGCCAAAGGGCCTGGGCGCCATCGAGTCCTGCCTCCCTTCCCTCTGCCCCTGGCCCCCAGGAGAGCACTGAGTGGGCTGTGGAAGGAGGGTCTGGCCGGAGAGAGGCCTGGGTGGTTTGCTCAGAAGGTGGAAAGGTGTCCTTCTTTTCCTGAAATCAACCAGATGCCATTGGTGGTGGTGGTGGGGGCTTTTGTTTGAGGAGCCATTTTCGGTTGAAGTCGTTCTGGGGAGAAACCCACGCGTTACTGCAGCCGCAGGAATTAGTCTAGAGTTTTTAATTCAAAATATAGGGCTTTCATCCAAGAAAGGGAAGGAAAGACCAGGAGAAAGGAGCTTTTGGCTGGTCGTCTCGATGGGGGGGG